GGTCCTTTATTTATAATCCCCTTTTTTGTTTTGTTTTCTCAGAGATGGGTGTTCTATTATTGTTAGAGAAGCTGTATTTGGAGACGTCTTTAAAGGACCTTTTCATACTTGATGCCAGTTCAAATATTGTAGGTACTTGAATTCAGCAAAATAACCCAATATAGTCCAATAGTCCATAATAGTAGTGGATTGTTAGCAGAACTTGCAATTGTCTGAAGTTCTTGACTTGAGTCTTTTATAGGTCAGCATATTAATATGGCATTACTTTCTATACCTTGTGGTTATACTTTTCTGCCGGATGGTTAAGACCAGGATAAAGCAAGAACTGTATAACAAAAAATGTAACTTCTGTATCTGACAAGGTCAGTCAAATTCCAAGATTTACCTTGAAATCATGAACAGCACCTTGTAGATCTTCTGTCAGTGTCAGCCATCTGATTGAGTCATGGCCATTGTTTAACCAATTTGCTGTCTGTGAAAGCCTGAGAGAATTTTTTCTTTCTAGGTAACTCTCCTTAGGCACACTATACATTGTCAATCACTTTCCTCTGTGGTCCCATCATCTCCTTGATCAGAAAATTTGGGACACCAGTGAGTTACAAGATGTCACAGTACAGATTCTCTTATATCCTGAGTCCTCACTGACCTTGAAGGGCTAGGGCCAAAATATTGGCTATCCTTTTTTTCTAATATTTGGTCTGCAAACTTTAGTTGTTAAGCATCCAGAAGAAAAGCTTAATGATATTATTACTCTGTAACAGAGGCAGTTGAGCTTAACATCACTATCTGAATATCAAACATGTAACATGGAACTGCTAATTGAACTTAAATTTAAATGGAAGTAGGAAATAGTGAGATTTGGGGTGAAAAGAAACTTCTGGAATAGACAGTAAAAGGATTAGAATGTGGTATGCAAGTTTTTAGCCTTCTGATTTCAGAATGGCACGATTGCTGTCCACCTGACATATTCTTCATGGCGTGCCTCCTGGATGCGGTACTGGCATTGTGGATGAGCATGGGGAGGAAGTAGTAACCTCACTGTCTGGATGGCCAGGGAGGGAAGAGCAGCCTGAGCTGTCCCCAGCTCCCTTTCTGACCAACTCCCAGGAGCTTTCAATACTGTGGACCTCTGAGTAGGATACTTCTGAACCTTCTCAAGTGTGTTACAACCTTTGGGTGTGTAAGAGGCAGGAATAAGCTTTGGGCTAGGACCTGTTTAGAGGGTTGGCATGCGATCATTTCTCTCACCTGTTTCTGGACTTCAGAAGTTCCTGAGTCAGCTTATTGGGACTATCCTAATGGAATGTTGTCACAAAAACTAGCAGATGCAAGCTTTGTTGTAGTT